GGGGGAGGGGATGGTGACACGGGGGGGAGGGGATGGTGACACGAGGGTGACACCAGGGCACGGGGATGTGGGGACACCCGGACACGAGGGTGTGGGGACGGTGACACAAGAGTGAGGGTGTCACAGGGACACGGGGACACTGACACGGGAGTGAGGGTGTCACCAGGGCACGAGGACATGGGGACACCGGGCTACAAGGGTGAGGGGACGGTGACACGGGGGTGAGGGTGTCACCAGGGCATGAGGACACGGGGACACCCGGCCATAAGGGTGTCACCAACCCACGAGGGTGTGGGGATGGTGACATGAGGGTGAGGGTGTCACCAGTGCACGAGGGTGTCACCAGGGCACGAGGACGTGGGGACACCCGGCCACGAGGATATGGGTGTCACTGGTCCACGAGGGTGACAAACACCCAACCAAGGGGGTACAGGTGTCACCAGGGCACGAGGATGTGGGGACACCCGGCCATGAGGGTGTGGGGACGGTGACACGAGGGTGTGGGGACACTGACATGGGGGTGAGGGTGTCACCAGGGCACGAGGACATGGAGACACCCGGCCATTGGGATGGTGACACAGGGTGAGGGTGTCACCAACCCATGAGGACGTGGGGACACCCAGCCACGAGGGTGTGGGGACGGTGACACGAGGGTGAGGGGATGGTGACACAGGGGTGTCACCAGGGCACGGGGATGTGGGGACACCCGGCCATGAGGGTGACGGGATGGTGACACAAGGGTGAGGGACACCTGACCATGAGGGTGAGGGGATGGTGACACGGGGGTGAGGGTGTCACCAACCCATCAGGACACAGGGACACCGGCCATGAGGGTGATGGGATGATGACAAGAGGGTGAGGGTGTCACCAGGGCATGAGGACATGGGGACACCCGGCCATAAGGGTGTCACCAACCCACGAGGGTGTGGGGACACTGACACGAGGGTGAGGGTGTCACCAACCCACGAGGACGTGGGGACACCCGGCTACGAGGGTCTGGGGATGGTGACACGAGGGTGAGGGACACCCGGCCACGAGGACATGGGTGTCACTGGTCCACAAGGGTGACAAACACCTGGCCACGAGGGTGAGGGTGTCACCAGGGCACGAGGACGTGGGGACACCCGGCCACGAGGGTCTGGGGATGGTGACATGAGGGTGAGGGGACGGTGACACGAGGGTGTGGGACACCTGGCCACGAGGATATGGGTGTCACTGGTCCACGAGGGTGACAGACACCCAACTACAAGGGTGAGGGGACACTGACACGAGGGTCTGGGGACATTGACACGAGGGTGAGAGTGTCACCAACCCACAAGGATGTGGGGACACCCGGCCACGAGGGTCTGGGGACGGTGACACGGGAGTGAGGGACACCCGGCCACGAGGGTACGGGTGTCACTGGTCCAGGAGGGTGACAGACACCCGGCCACGGGGGTGCAGGTGTCACCAGGGCACGAGGACGTGGGGACACCTGGTCACAGGGGGTGACAGACACCCAACCATGAGAGTGAGGGTGTCACCAACACATGAGGACGTGGGGGCACCCGGCCACGAGGGTGTGGGGATGGTGACACGAGGGTGAGGGACACCCGGCCATGAGGATACGGGTGTCACTGGTCTATGAGGGTGACAAACACCCAACCACGGGGGTACAGGTGTCACCAGCACACAAGGATGTGGGGACACCCGGCCACGAGGGTGAGGGATGGTGACATGAGGGTGAGGGACACCCAGCCACAAGGGTGTCACTGGTCCACGAGGGTGACAGACACCCAACTACAAGGGTGAGGGGACACTGACACGAGGGTCTGGGGACATTGACACGAGGGTGAGAGTGTCACCAACCCACAAGGATGTGGGGACACCCGGCCACGAGGGTCTGGGGACGGTGACACGGGAGTGAGGGACACCCGGCCACGAGGGTACGGGTGTCACTGGTCCAGGAGGGTGACAGACACCCGGCCACGGGGGTGCAGGTGTCACCAGGGCACGAGGACGTGGGGACACCTGGTCACAGGGGGTGACAGACACCCAACCATGAGAGTGAGGGTGTCACCAACACATGAGGACGTGGGGGCACCCGGCCACGAGGGTGTGGGGATGGTGACACGAGGGTGAGGGGATGGTGACACGAGGGTGAGGGGATGGTGACACGAGGGTGAGGGACACCCGGCCATGAGGATACGGGTGTCACTGGTCTATGAGGGTGACAAACACCCAACCACGGGGGTACAGGTGTCACCAGCACACAAGGATGTGGGGACACCCGGCCACGAGGGTGGGGGGGACACTGACACGAGGGTGAGGGGACGATGACACGAGTGTGAAGGTGTCACCAGGGCACGAGGACACTGACCCGAGGGTTTGGGGACAGTGACACGGGGGGGTGAGGGTGTCACAGGGATGTGGGGACACTGACACGGGGGTGGGGGTGTCACCAACCCACGAGGCCGTGGGGACACTGACACGAGGGTGCAGGGAGGGGTGAGGGTGTCACCAACCCATGGGGACATGGTGACACCTGACCATGAAGATCTGGGGATGGTGACACGAGGGTGAGGGACACGAGGATACGGGTGTCACTGGTCCACGAGGGTGACAAACACCTGGCCTGGGGGTTTGGGGACACTGACACAGGGGTGAGGGTGTCACCAGCGCACGAGGACGTGGGGACACCCGGCCACGAGGGTGGGGGGACACTGACACGAGGGTGAGGGGACGATGACACGAGTGTGAAGGTGTCACCAGGGCACGAGGACACTGACCCGAGGGTTTGGGGACAGTGACACGGGGGGGTGAGGGTGTCACAGGGACGTGGGGACACTGACCCGAGGGTTTGGGGACACTGACACGGGGGTGGGGGTGTCACCAACCCACGAGGCCGTGGGGACACTGACACGAGGGTGCAGGGACGTGTGTGCACGTGGACACGAGGACAGTGACCCCCCTCCCCCCCCCAGCAGGTTTTGGGGGACACCCCAGGACACAGGTTTTGGGGACAAGGGGACGCTCGGGGGGGTGACAAGGGGGGAAGGAGCCCCCCCGTTGTGTGTCCCCCCCCACATCGTGTCCCCAACCCGAGGGGGGGGACACACACAGGACAAAGCCACCCCGAGGGGACAGAGGGGGGGGACACAGAGGGAAATGCCCCCCCCTCCCCAAAATCCCAAAATCTTGGGGACAAGGAGGGGGGGGGACACACGAGGGGAGGGGACACGG